GAGCAAGGAGCAGTAACAACTACGCCATCTGTGGGTCAGCTCCCGAACCCCCGCCAAACGAACGACGACACCGGACGAGGACGGCGAATATCGGCCACAAGGGCCAGTTTCCAGTCCTGTGCAGCTCACAACACAGCCGCTCCTGACCTCTGGTGAGGTGGTGCTCCGACGACAGCGCCATCTATGGACTGGATACGTCAGGTGTTTGCGCCCGAACCCGTAAGTGAGGTGGTTTAGTGTCCCAGTTATTGATGACGTGTCTGTTTACAGAGTCGACCTGGGACCACTGTGTTGAAGGTTGAGTCAGTCTACCCGAGGCAGCCAGTCTCCATATTGTGAAGTTTGCTGCAGCTGTGGTGACGTCGTCCCCCCTGAAGAACACTGTGGTGTGTTAGCCTGCCAGTGGAGTGGCAGTGAAAAGATTTACCCGGGACCGACTGTTGGAGACGATCATCCACTGGGGTATTGAGGACAGGAGGGTGATTTGTGATATCACACGTGACTCCTGTCTAGGGCGTACCCCTTATATCGTTCGTGGAGTGGCCGTACCAGCCTTGGTGGCTCAGTACCTGCCAGCAGACCAGCTGGACGTGTGGTTGACGGCCTCCACGACGGTGCCCCCAGTGGACCTGCGTTTTGGCTGACCTGTGGCCCGGGTAGGCTCGGCATTCTCAGAGGACACATCGTGAGGCCACGAAGAAAGCACCGCGGACTCAGCACCTAGCTTCTTGATCAAGAGTCTTCAACAGAAGACTACATTGTGAATAATCCCCTTGTTTAGTGTTAATACCCCTCCCCCTTGTGCACTCATTAATTTTATATATTTAAACGGTGATGGTGTTAATTATAATAATAAGTTCTTAAGCTTTCTTTCCCTACTCCCTTTAAGTTACTTGCGTCACGGATCTCATCCCTTGATAGCCAATACTGGCTTGGGAACGGATACATATATCTTCCTCTAACAACATCAGAGTGAGAACCCCGTTGCGTCCCGAGAGGGCCGTAACACTACAATCTTCGTCTGTCACAACTCTTCTCATTAATTTTGCGTCATCTGCAAACATTGACATGTATGATTCCACTCCTGTAAACATATCATTTACGTAAATTAGAAAGAGGATTGGTCCCAGCACCGATCTTGAGGTACTCCACTTGTTACTGTTCGCCAGTCCGACTTTTCGCCCCTTACCATTACCCTCTGGCTCCTTCCTGTTAGGTAGTTCTTCACCCATACTAGGGCCTTTCCGCTTACTCCTGCCTGCCTCTCAAGTTTGTATAGCAGTCTCATGTGCGGTACCGTATCAAAGGCCTTTTGGCAGTCAAGAAATATGCAGTCTGCCCAGCCTTCTCTGTCCTGCCTTATCCTTGTTACTTTATCATAGAATTCTAAAAGGTTTGTTAGGCATGATTTCCCTGTCCAGAACCCATGTTGGTGCTTGTTTACAAACCCAATGCTCTCCAGGTGCTCAACAAGTCTTAGCCTAATTATTCTTTCAAGTATTTTGCAGGGGATGCTTGTCAGTGATACGGGTCTGTAGTTAAGTGCCTCCTCCCTATCACCCTTTTTGAAAATCGGTACGACATTTGCCTCCTTCCAGCAACTGGGCAATTCTCCCGACATAAGTGACTCATTAAAGATCATTGCCAGAGGCACGCTGAGAGCCTGCGCTGCCTCTTTAAGTATCCACGGTGATACTTTGTCTGGTCCAACAGCTTTATTTGCGTCCAGTGTTGTCAACTGTTTCATTACATCCTCTGCTGTCACCTCTATATCTGATAGTCTTTCATCTTGGGTAATCTCTTCTAACAATGGGAGCTGCTCAGGCTCGGTTGTGAACACTCCATGGAATTTTGCATTCAGTCCCTCGCAGATTTCCTTGTCGCTTTCTGTATATGCCCCTTCTGTTTTCCTCAGTCTTGTCACTTGGTCATTTACCGACATCTTCCTTCTTATATGGCTATGTAGTAATTTTGGTTGCTTTTTCGCTTTGACTGCAATATCGACTGCAATAATTTTCGCTTTGACTTTGACTGTGTGTGTGTGTGTGTGTGTGCGCGCGTGTGTTAGAGAGGTGGGGTCCATGTAGTAGCGGACACAATACAGGAAAAGTGGATTCATTAGAGAGGCGGAGTTCAAGAGCTAATAGCTCGATCTTGCAGGCACAAATAGTAAACACAAATAGTAAATACACACACACACACACACACACACACACACACACACACACACACACACACACGGGTTCAGGGATGGCAAGTCCTGCCTCACAGGGTTACTTGAATTCTACGACCAAGCAACAAAAATCAGGCAAGAAAGAGAAGGGTGGGCAGACTGCATATTTTTGGATTGCCAGAAAGCCTTTGATACAGTACCACACAAGAGGATAGTGTAAAAGCGGGATATGCAGGCTGAAGTGAAAGGGAAAGTACTCCATTGGATAAAGGCGTACCTAAGCAACTGGAGACAAAGAGTCAATATGAGGGGTGAGGTCTCAGATTGGCGAGACGTTACGAGTGGAGTCCCGCAGGGGTCAGTCCTTGGACCTATACAGTTTCTGATATATGTAAATGATCTCCCAGAGGGTATAGACTCGTTTCTATCAATGTTTGCTGATGATGCAAAAATTATGAGGATTGAAACAGAGGATGATAGTAGGAAGCTACAAGATAACCTAGACAGACTGAATGAATGGTCCAACAAATGGCTGCTAAAGTTCAGTAAATGCAAAGTAATGAAACTAGGCGGTGGAAACAGGAGGCCAGACACAGGATACAGAATAGGATATGAAGTACTTAATGAAACGGACAGAGAGAAAGATCTAGGAGTTGATATCACACCAAACCTGTCTCCTTAAGCCCATATAAAAAGAATAACGTCTGCAGCATATGCGTGGCTGGCTAACATCAGAACTGCCTTCAGGAACCTGTGTAAGGAATCATTCAGAATCTTGTACACCAAATATGTAAGACCAATCCTGGAGTATGCGGCCCCAGCATGGAGCCCGTACCTTGTCAAACACAAGACGAAGCTGGAAAAAGTTCAGAGGTATGCCACTAGACTAGTCCCAGAACTAAGAGGCATGAGTTACGAGGAAAGGCTGCGGGAAATGCACCTTACGACAGTGGAAGACAGAAGAGTGAGGGGAGACATGATCACAACCTACAAAATCCTCAGGGGAATCGACCGGGTAAAGAAGGATAAACTATTTTAACACTGGTGGGACGCAAACAAGGGGACACAGGTGGAAACTGAGTACCCACATGAGCCACAGAGACGTTAGAATGAACTTTTTCAGTGTCAGAGTAGTTAACGGATGGAATGCATTAGGCAGTGATGTGGTGGAGGCTGACTCCATACACAGTTTTAAATGTAGATATGATAGAGCCCAATAGGCTCAGGAATCTGTACACCAGCTGATTGACAGTTGAGAGGCGGGACCAAAGAGCCAAAGCTCAACCCCCGCAAGCACAATTAGGTGAGTACACACACACACACACACACACATAAGAGTGCTTTATCATTCATACATGCGAGTGTAACATTAACATTCAAGATACAAGTACTCTAATACACACTAGTGTATAATATACAGTAATATACACAGATGAGTTCCCTGTCACACACCAGAACTCTGGCGCTCACGCCTGACGCAGTTGGCAGGGGCGATGTTGCTTCACTCGGCAGCCCTCCTTATCTGTGTGACGTTCTCTTGTTGTGTTACGGTCACATGGTGTGTGACGTCCTCTTCTTGTGTGACATCCTCATGCTGTGTGACGTCCTCTTCTTGTGTGACGTCCTCTTCTTGTATGACATTCTCTTGTGTGACGTCCTCATGTTGTGTGACATCCTCTTCTTGTGTGACATCCTCTTGTGTGACGTCCTCATGTTGTGTGACGTCCTCTTCTTGTGTGACGTCCTCATGTTGTGTGACATCCTCATGTTGTATGACGTCCTCATGTTGTGTGACGTCCTCATGTTGTGTGACGTCCTCATGTTGTGTGACGTCCTCATGTTGTGTGACGTCCTCTTCTTGTGTGACGTCCTCATGTTGTGTGACGTCCTCATGTTGTATGACGTCCTCATGTTGTGTGACGTCCTCATGTTGTGTGACGTCCTCATGTTGTGTGACATCCTCATGTTGTATGACGTCCTCATGTTGTGTGACGTCCTCATGTTGTGTGACATCCTCATGTTGTGTGACGTCCTCATGTTGTGTGACGTCCTCTTCTTGTGTGACATCCTCATGTTCTGTGACGTCCTCTTGTTGTATGACGTCCTCTTCTTGTGTGACATCCTCATGTTCTGTGACGTCCTCTTGTTGTATGACGTCCTCTTCTTGTGTGACGTCCTCATCTAGTATGACGTCCTCATGTTGTGTGATGTCCTCATGTTCTGTGACGTCCTCTTGTTGTATGACGTCATTAAATTTTCCAGAAAGGTGAAGAATTAGGGGTGACATGATAAAGGTATACAAGTGGATGAATGGACATAACAAAGGGGATATTAATGAGGTATTATGAGTATCAACACAAAATAGAACACGAAACAATGGGTATAAATTAGATAAGTTTAGATTTAGGAAAGATCTGGGTAAAGCAGTGTTACAGGAAGCTTTGTAACTGTTATTTAGTACTGGATATATATTGTTTAATGTATTTGGCAGTTAGATAGGTATTGAGTCATGATCTTGCTGGTACAAGGTATATTGGCTTGGAGATTATAATGCAATATAACCAACTGAACGCCACGGATTACAGAACTAAACATACCGATGTATAGTATGGGGGTTAAGAACCCCATCCTGGACCATACATTTAGCCAGGGTTTTTATAGATAATCTATTACAGCAAAACAAATGGAAATTCAGTAAATTAAATTAAGATTTGATATAGATAATATATGGTGTGGGACAGAGATAGTCGACTGAATAATTGCTCTATTAAAGCTGTGGTGGATATAGGCGCTGCTACTGTGAACTGGCCAATAGGCCCTCTGCAGTTTAATATGGTTGTGTGATGTCCTTGTGTTGTGTGATGTCCTTCTGTTGTGTGATGTCCTTGTGTTGTGTGATGTCCTTGTGTTGTGTGATGTCCTTGTGTTGTGTGATGTCCTTGTGTTGTGTGATGTCCTTCTGTTGTGTGATGTCCTTGTGTTGTGTGATGTCCTTGTGTTGTGTGATGTCCTTCTGTTGTGTGATGTCCTTGTGTTGTGTGATGTCCTTGTGTTGTGTGATGTCCTTCTGTTGTGTGATGTCCTTGTGTTGTGTGATGTCCTCATGTGTGACGTCCTCATGTGTGACGTCCTCATGTGTAACAATCTCATGTGCCACAGCGCACTCACTTTGCACACTTTAAGATAGCTGGCTAATTTTTTCCTATCACACTGGTGACACTGTCCTAATTATCTTTCTCCGGACATAGGCTAGTTATTATACCCACTTCCAGGTGTTCTTCTAGTCGTTAAAGGGAGGTAGTTTCCTTTAACGTGTACCGTCCTGGTCTCTTGACGCCTGTTCCCGTTTCCATCTCCTTGCTGGTGTTGAAACTTAGCAGCCATTTCTCAGATCAACTTTGCAACCTGATTAAGTCACTTTGGAGTATTTTGTAAATCTTCATGTGTTTCGACCTTTCTCATTTCATTTTGCAACGTCTTCAAACATCAACGTGTAGATAACAACTTTCGCAGTTATGTCATTAATGTTAATTAATGTTAACACCTTGCTATGTATCCTCACAAACCCAATGTGCCTTCTTGTATATATATATATATATATATATATATATATATATATATATATATATATATATATATATATATATATATATATATATGTATGACGTCCTCATGTTGTGTGACGTCCTCATGTTGTGTGACGTCCTCATGTTGTGTGACATCCTCATGTTAATCACGTGTTTATTTTCGTGATATACACACACACACATATATAATATATATATATATATATATATATATATATATATATATATATATATATATATATATATATATATATATATATATATATATATATATATATTCTTCTTCGAGGATGTGGGTCCCTTTAATTAAACCAGTGGTGGTAACCCTAAATATATATATATATATAACTGAAAACTCACACCCCAGAAGTGACTCGAACCCATACTCCCAGAAGCAACGCAACTGGTATGTACAAGACGCCTTAATCCACTTGACCATCACGACCGGACAAAATGAGGTGATAGCCGAGGCTATTTGAACCACCCCACCGCCGGCACTCGGATAGTAATCTTGGGAATAGCATTTTACCAAATCAGGCTTGTTCGCATTTGTGTTCCTCACGTGTGCCCCAAAGAATGAGGTGATTTGGTAAAATGCTATGCCCAAGATTACTATCCGAGTGCCGGCGGTGGGGTGGTTCAAATAGCCTCGGCTATCACCTCATTTTGTCCGGTCGTGATGGTCAAGTGGATTAAGGCGTCTTGTACATACCAGTTGCGTTGCTTCTGGGAGTATGGGTTCGAGTCACTTCTGGGGTGTGAGTTTTCAGTTGCATATTGTCCTGGGGACCATTCAGGCTTGTTCGCATTTGTGTTCCTCACGTGTGCCCCAAAGAATGAGGTGATTTGGTAAAATGCTATGCCCAAGATTACTATCCGAGTGCCGGCGGTGGGGTGGTTCAAATAGCCTCGGCTATCACCTCATTTTGTCCGGTCGTGATGGTCAAGTGGATTAAGGCGTCTTGTACATACCAGTTGCGTTGCTTCTGGGAGTATGGGTTCGAGTCACTTCTGGGGTGTGAGTTTTCAGTTGCATATTGTCCTGGGGACCATTCAGGCTTGTTCGCATTTGTGTTCCTCACGTGTGCCCCAAAGAATGAGGTGATTTGGTAAAATGCTATGCCCAAGATTACTATCCGAGTGCCGGCGGTGGGGTGGTTCAAATAGCCTCGGCTATCACCTCATTTTGTCCGGTCGTGATGGTCAAGTGGATTAAGGCGTCTTGTACATACCAGTTGCGTTGCTTCTGGGAGTATGGGTTCGAGTCACTTCTGGGGTGTGAGTTTTCAGTTGCATATTGTCCTGGGGACCATTCAGGCTTGTTCGCATTTGTGTTCCTCACGTGTGCCCCAAAGAATGAGGTGATTTGGTAAAATGCTATGCCCAAGATTACTATCCGAGTGCCGGCAGTGGGGTGGTTCAAATAGCCTCGGCTATCACCTCATTTTGTCCGGTCGTGATGGTCAAGTGGATTAAGGCGTCTTGTACATACCAGTTGCGTTGCTTCTGGGAGTATGGGTTCGAGTCACTTCTGGGGTGTGAGTTTTCAGTTGCATATTGTCCTGGGGACCATTCAGGCTTGTTCGCATTTGTGTTCCTCACGTGTGCCCCAAAGAATGAGGTGATTTGGTAAAATGCTATGCCCAAGATTACTATCCGAGTGCCGGCGGTGGGGTGGTTCAAATAGCCTCGGCTATCACCTCATTTTGTCCGGTCGTGATGGTCAAGTGGATTAAGGCGTCTTGTACATACCAGTTGCGTTGCTTCTGGGAGTATGGGTTCGAGTCACTTCTGGGGTGTGAGTTTTCAGTTGCATATTGTCCTGGGGACCATTCAGGCTTGTTCGCATTTGTGTTCCTCACGTGTGCCCCAAAGAATGAGGTGATTTGGTAAAATGCTATGCCCAAGATTACTATCCGAGTGCCGGCGGTGGGGTGGTTCAAATAGCCTCGGCTATCACCTCATTTTGTCCGGTCGTGATGGTCAAGTGGATTAAGGCGTCTTGTACATACCAGTTGCGTTGCTTCTGGGAGTATGGGTTCGAGTCACTTCTGGGGTGTGAGTTTTCAGTTGCATATTGTCCTGGGGACCATTCAGGCTTGTTCGCATTTGTGTTCCTCACGTGTGCCCCAAAGAATGAGGTGATTTGGTAAAATGCTATGCCCAAGATTACTATCCGAGTGCCGGCGGTGGGGTGGTTCAAATAGCCTCGGCTATCACCTCATTTTGTCCGGTCGTGATGGTCAAGTGGATTAAGGCGTCTTGTACATACCAGTTGCGTTGCTTCTGGGAGTATGGGTTCGAGTCACTTCTGGGGTGTGAGTTTTCAGTTGCATATTGTCCTGGGGACCATTCAGGCTTGTTCGCATTTGTGTTCCTCACGTGTGCCCCAAAGAATGAGGTGATTTGGTAAAATGCTATGCCCAAGATTACTATCCGAGTGCCGGCGGTGGGGTGGTTCAAATAGCCTCGGCTATCACCTCATTTTGTCCGGTCGTGATGGTCAAGTGGATTAAGGCGTCTTGTACATACCAGTTGCGTTGCTTCTGGGAGTATGGGTTCGAGTCACTTCTGGGGTGTGAGTTTTCAGTTGCATATTGTCCTGGGGACCATTCAGGCTTGTTCGCATTTGTGTTCCTCACGTGTGCCCCAAAGAATGAGGTGATTTGGTAAAATGCTATGCCCAAGATTACTATCCGAGTGCCGGCGGTGGGGTGGTTCAAATAGCCTCGGCTATCACCTCATTTTGTCCGGTCGTGATGGTCAAGTGGATTAAGGCGTCTTGTACATACCAGTTGCGTTGCTCCTGGGAGTATGGGTTCGAGTCACTTCTGGGGTGTGAGTTTTCAGTTGCATATTGTCCTGGGGACCATTCAGGCTTGTTCGCATTTGTGTTCCTCACGTGTGCCCCAAAGAATGAGGTGATTTGGTAAAATGCTATGCCCAAGATTACTATCCGAGTGCCGGCGGTGGGGTGGTTCAAATAGCCTCGGCTATCACCTCATTTTGTCCGGTCGTGATGGTCAAGTGGATTAAGGCGTCTTGTACATACCAGTTGCGTTGCTTCTGGGAGTATGGGTTCGAGTCACTTCTGGGGTGTGAGTTTTCAGTTGCATATTGTCCTGGGGACCATTCAGGCTTGTTCGCATTTGTGTTCCTCACGTGTGCCCCAAAGAATGAGGTGATTTGGTAAAATGCTATGCCCAAGATTACTATCCGAGTGCCGGCGGTGGGGTGGTTCAAATAGCCTCGGCTATCACCTCATTTTGTCCGGTCGTGATGGTCAAGTGGATTAAGGCGTCTTGTACATACCAGTTGCGTTGCTTCTGGGAGTATGGGTTCGAGTCACTTCTGGGGTGTGAGTTTTCAGTTGCATATTGTCCTGGGGACCATTCAGGCTTGTTCGCATTTGTGTTCCTCACGTGTGCCCCAAAGAATGAGGTGATTTGGTAAAATGCTATGCCCAAGATTACTATCCGAGTGCCGGCGGTGGGGTGGTTCAAATAGCCTCGGCTATCACCTCATTTTGTCCGGTCGTGATGGTCAAGTGGATTAAGGCGTCTTGTACATACCAGTTGCGTTGCTTCTGGGAGTATGGGTTCGAGTCACTTCTGGGGTGTGAGTTTTCAGTTGCATATTGTCCTGGGGACCATTCAGGCTTGTTCGCATTTGTGTTCCTCACGTGTGCCCCAAAGAATGAGGTGATTTGGTAAAATGCTATGCCCAAGATTACTATCCGAGTGCCGGCGGTGGGGTGGTTCAAATAGCCTCGGCTATCACCTCATTTTGTCCGGTCGTGATGGTCAAGTGGATTAAGGCGTCTTGTACATACCAGTTGCGTTGCTTCTGGGAGTATGGGTTCGAGTCACTTCTGGGGTGTGAGTTTTCAGTTGCATATTGTCCTGGGGACCATTCAGGCTTGTTCGCATTTGTGTTCCTCACGTGTGCCCCAAAGAATGAGGTGATTTGGTAAAATGCTATGCCCAAGATTACTATCCGAGTGCCGGCGGTGGGGTGGTTCAAATAGCCTCGGCTATCACCTCATTTTGTCCGGTCGTGATGGTCAAGTGGATTAAGGCGTCTTGTACATACCAGTTGCGTTGCTTCTGGGAGTATGGGTTCGAGTCACTTCTGGGGTGTGAGTTTTCAGTTGCATATTGTCCTGGGGACCATTCAGGCTTGTTCGCATTTGTGTTCCTCACGTGTGCCCCAAAGAATGAGGTGATTTGGTAAAATGCTATGCCCAAGATTACTATCCGAGTGCCGGCAGTGGGGTGGTTCAAATAGCCTCGGCTATCACCTCATTTTGTCCGGTCGTGATGGTCAAGTGGATTAAGGCGTCTTGTACATACCAGTTGCGTTGCTTCTGGGAGTATGGGTTCGAGTCACTTCTGGGGTGTGAGTTTTCAGTTGCATATTGTCCTGGGGACCATTCAGGCTTGTTCGCATTTGTGTTCCTCACGTGTGCCCCAAAGAATGAGGTGATTTGGTAAAATGCTATGCCCAAGATTACTATCCGAGTGCCGGCGGTGGGGTGGTTCAAATAGCCTCGGCTATCACCTCATTTTGTCCGGTCGTGA